GGATATTCCCAACCCCTTCCTGGCAGTGCCCTTGGTGTGTACGCTTGCTGCTTTGTGGGAGGAGCAGTGCCCTGGCTCTGCCCACCATGTCCACACGTGGACACTTGGCGTGGTCTGCATCTAGGTCTGCTCAGAACTGCTCCTGTGGAATATGTCCTTGCTCGGGTGACCCCTGGCATTCCTCGGGACACGAGGTACATAAGTACTGGAGAAAGGAGATGGACTGAAAGAGGTTCAGATTGCAGACAGGGAACCCTGGCTTGTTCTGGGCTGCATTAGGAGAGGCAAAGTAAGCCTGGAGGAGTTTGGGGCTACCAAATGCACTTGCTGAAAGTGGGTTTCTGAGACTGCAACTGTTTACAGGAGTAGAAAGCCCAGTCTGTCTTCTGAGGAGCTGCTGGTGGGTTTGAAGTGCCGACCAGGCGGATGGCAGCTCAATGAGTAACCACTACACCACTAGGGCTCCATCGAAGGGAGAGTCAAATTACTCCTGAGACTACATCTTTACTAGAAAGCCTCGTCTCTGTCCAGCAGCTCTGGCTGTTGGTTTCAAGTTGATGACCTGCAGTTAGCCCAATGCATAGCCCACTATGCCACCAGGGCACCGTGGAAATCCACTCAAGCACTGCCAGCCAGTACAGCTTTGATATTTTACCTAGAATGCTGTTCTATGGATATCAAAAGGGCTCGATCAGTACAAGGTGGGTAATGGACAGCTTTCTGCTTCCCCCAGTACTCTCCACTTTGTGTTTAACTTGAAATGCTCCTCTGGCTCGGAATGTTTCTCCTCACATCAAATGTAACTATTTCTGGGGAAACCAATACAATGAACCTGGTCGGTTAGCAGTCCCCTAATACGAATTCGTTGCTTTTATGCTGTCCCAAGAGCTGGTTTTGAGAGGATGAAAATTATAACACTGATTCCCTGTGGCGGAGCCTCGGTGGTATAGCGGTTTTGTGTTAGGGCTGCTAACCGCAAGGTCAGCAGTTCAAAACTACCAGCCACTCTGCGAGAGATGGATGAGGCTTAGTCTGGGAAACGCACAGGGGCAGCCAGCTATACCCTGTCCTACTGGGTCACCAGGAGCCAGAACCAACTCCATGGCATTGAGTCTGGTTGGGGGTTTAGTTTGGTTGGGGGGTTGGTACCCTGTGAGGGAAAGGGACCACGGCCCATCCCTGGGAAAATAACACGTTGCTAAATAAGTAGATATTGAACAATGTTTTCAAACCCAGTGGTTTGGGAAATTATCAGGACTTGATAAAACATTTCATTGACATACATTCTACTTGAAGTGTCACCCTACATATTCTGATAAGGGCATGAACACAAACGATCACCCAATATGGCTAATCATAACTTATTCCAGCACAAAAGTATTCCCTACTCAATTCCGTAACAAGGGCAGAGCTTTTAATGGGCCATGACTTGCAGAGGGAAATGCCAGCTGCCCGGAATTGGGATATTCACCCCCACCCCCACCCCCACCCCGCTTCTCTCAGTTTCCTACCTGGTTAGGCACACGCGCACGAAGTCCACAGCGTGTTCCGAGAAGCGGTCTGGCAAAGGCGGCATCAGCCCGCGGTGCGCCCCGATGTAAAACATGGCCGCCATCCTGTCCATGGAGGCCAGCGGCGGCTTGCCCGTGGCCATCTCAAATACAGTGCAGCCAATGCTCCAGATGTCCGACTTCCTGCCGTAGCCAGACTCATTGATGACTTCCGGGGCCATCCAGTACGGGGTGCCATGCATGGACTTCAGCATATCACTGTGAGTGCCGTTGAGGCCCGCCCAAGCCAAACGCTTGGCACAGCCAAAGTCAATCAGCTTTATTATCCCAGTTGGCATGAGCATGACGTTGTTCCCCTTGATGTCTCGATGCACCACGCAGTTCTCATGAAGGTAAGCAACGCCCTGCAGAATTTGTTTTGTGTATTTACAGAACACCATCTCGGGCAATGGCCCGAAGCGATTGATAATACTGGAGATGGAACCACCGGGAACAAACTCCATGAAAATGCTCACAATGTTCTCTTCCAAGCAGGTCCCCAAATAGGCCACAATGTTCACGTGTTTCAGAACTTTGAGCAAATCGACTTCTTCATGCAGTTTTCGGTATTCTTTCTCCGTAGCTAATTTATCAGAGGTATCCAGCGCCACCTGCTTGACAGCGATTAGCTGGCCCTGGCTAGTGAGACCACAGTATACCTGGAAGCAAACCGATACTTCATTGAATAAGACAGATACAAAGAACTTGTTGGTAAAATGCCTCCTATGGTGCTTGTCTTTACCTTCTTTGTCTAAAACTATGTCCTTTGATACACCTCCACCTAAATGCAACGTGCTCAAAGAAGACGCAACACTTCAGTGGAGCCAAGATGGGGATGAGCCCCAGGGTGAATGGAAATCGTTTGGGTTTGGATTGCTTGGAATCCTGACTTCACCAACTTCCAAGTGTGCAACTTGGGGGACGTTTACATGACTTTTGACCTTCAATTCTTCACATCTATAAAACGAAAGGAACAATATTCGCCCCAGTGATTTCTAGGATGACGACGTGCGCTGGTGTTTGGGAAAGTTCCTCATGCACTAAATTTTTAAGACATATTTTCCCTTGATGCTTAAGTGTGACCAGGGCGGGGATCTCTGTCTAAATGCCAGGTTTAAGACCTTGGGGGCAAAGAAACCAAGTTTCAAGCATGCTGATGGAGGTACACCTTTATGATATACAGTGAACCCTCGCCACTTCGCGCTTCAACTTCCGCGGCTTCACTCTATCGCGGTTTTTGCTTAACAGCGCATGCTCTGTCATTACTGCCACTGATTGGCTCATACTGTACATGCTTGATGCCCATAAATAATATAATAAATAATAAATGATAACTGTAACGTCCAAAATGTTTTACTGTATTTTCCCTTTTTCGTTTAATAAATTGGGTAATACGTGTGTAATGGTGACTAAAGGGTATTTTTTCATGTCCTCTATGCTCTAGCTATGAAAATATTTTATTTACAAATAAGGAATCCTACTTTGCGGAATTTCATTTATCACGGTAGGGTCTAGAACCGATTAACCACGATAAACGAGGGTTCACTGTATATTTTCATGATATATTATATTCACAAAACTCTCCATATACACAGATAGACTGGGGATTTGTTTCCAATCTCTGGAATCTGGGAATCTGGGTTAACATTCCGCTCTGCCATATAATTGTGTGACCTAAGCAAGTCAGCCGAGAGGAGGCTAGAAAGCTCCAGCGGTCTGTGAGGGGTGTGGGGGGGCTTGGTGCTTTTCTGTCATCTCACTGATTCCGGAAAGGGCCCCACCTACTGCTGGAGCAGGTCTCCTCTGGGAGTCAGCCTCGTCTTTACTCGTGGATGGAAGTACCGTCTAAAGCATGAAGTCTTTGGATGTTCTTGTATGCAATTCACAAAACAAGAAAGCAGCCTCGGCTGTTTTTGCCACCGTGCAGTGATTCTCCCAATTTCTGATGGTATACCCTGAGCTGTTGAGGGGCGTGGACTTGGGAGAGTGAGAAGCTCTGGCTATTGTGCTCCTACCTGGAACTCAGATACAGAAATCAGAGCCCGGTGATGTGGCTTGACCCTGAAGCCAAGACTGCTGAAAACCAGACCTGCTCCAGAACTTTGTTACCAAAGCAATCAGCATGGTTCTGCACTTTGGGTTGGGGTTTCTGTGACTGCCGGCGGAAAGATTTCGGAGGTACAGTGTGTTTGGAGCTGGATAAGAGAGGTGGGCTCATTAGGGGTGGGATTTTGAGTTGTATCACTTACTTACCGTGCCATAGGCGCCCTTCCCAAGGATCTCCCCCTTGGTCCACAGGATAGGCTCTCCATGCTTTAAACTACTTTCAGAAAATATCTTCTTTTCATTTGAGTTGAGAAATTTGTCCTCCCTGTCATAAATTCGGAACCCATGACCATACCTCTGGAACAATAAGACAAATGGTAAGGTCATCATTAGACTCTGAGACAAGGGCATGGAGGAAGGAGTGGGGGCTCACAAGAATCATCCCTTCATATACACCTGGCCTGGGCTACTCATTGTTCTGGATACCTAGATTTCCCCCAAAAAAGACCACCCAGGATATCTTCATTCTGCACCTCAGCCTTATTGAACACTTCTAAGTCACCTTTTGCCCATCTATTTTTTATGGGGAGGTCTTAGTCCTGATCATCTTTGAACCTGCAGGCTCCTTTGAGAATGAGTTCTCTCAAGGTTCCAGGAATCAGTGTGGACACACATGTACTACTGTGTGCGAACACAGGTACCCTTCTCAACAACCCACCCCTGAATCCTCTTCAGAATTCCTGTTCTGGTCAACTTGCCCCAAAACAGACACGTGGGGACAGAGAAACACACATGTAGTCACACTTACATACACATATACTCACTCACACACATGTTCCCAGATGCATTTGCACAAATATGCATATAGACAAATACAAGTTACATCCAATTCATAGCATATGCATAAATATACATTACATATACATATCTAGACACATATACTAGGACACATAGATACATAAACATACACACTTATATACATGTATACACATTTACACACATGAACACAGTTGTGAAAAACAATTTCAGTGGTCAAGACCAGCCTTTATAAACTGCAGATGGATGGTCCCCTAACCTCTTGCTACTCACAAGATAGTGTGCACACTACTCACAAGATAGTGTGCACACTAATGCTGTATCAGCATTATCTGGAAGCTCCTTAGACATGCAGAATCTCAGGCCCCTGTCATACTAACTCAGCGTGTGCATCTTAACATGATCCCCAAGAGAGTGTCTGTCCCAATAAGCCTTGAGAGACACCGCCAGTTAGGACAGGGAGCAGTCTCAATGTAGTGAGGAGAAACGGAGCTGAATCAGAATGCCCGGCTCCACCCCTCGCTAGCCAGTGACAGCAAAGCCTCAATTTGCTCATCTACAATAGGAAACACATTTTGGTAAAATTTAGACCATATTTTCCAATTCGTTGGTCAGAACCAAACTTGACTCATTTTTATCCCCTGGCCTGGTAACTTCAAAAACAAATGCCAACAATGGTGCAGCCGAGACCTAGCAATGTGGCACCTGGAAGTTTCCTGGCAGATCCTACAGGCTTGCCTTCCTTTTTGGAATGTCCACATGCTTGCCAGGGCCATCTGGATTTTTCCTCGCCATCCACGCATGCGAAGACCTACTTGAAAGGGGAATGTCTACCCAAGATCCACTCTTTCCTCCCTGACTGCAGGGTGCAGTTACGGATTGTCTTTATGGGAGCACTTACTCTTCTTCAATCTGAAGTTACAGAGTTGCAGGCTGCGCAACCCACTCCCATTCCTCAGGCCAGCCTGTGGGCATCTCTAAATCACAGTCCACCACCCAGGAGAGACCAAGATCCTATGACAGCAAAGCTGGCCACTTAGCACAGGGAGCATGCTCCTGTGTAGTGATGAGAGGTGAAGCGTGAATCAGAGTGCCTAGCTCCACCTCTCGCTGGCTGTCAATATCAAAACTTCAATTTGCTCATCTGCAAAAGGGGATGTTAGGACCCGTAGTGCCTATCAAATACAGTTATTATGAAGCACAAATGAGAAAAGAAACATGATACATCTCACTTATTCATGGTAAATTCTCAGTACCCATAGCTGTCAAATCAATTCCAACTCATTACAACTCTATAGGACAGAATAGAAAGCCCCTTAGGGCTTTCTAGTCTATAATGTTGACTGAAACCAACTCCCACATCTTTCTCTCATGGAGTGGCTGGTGAACCTCTTGCTCTTTCAGTTAGTACTTACTCCAGTGCTTAACCAAGGTGTCCCTCCTTAAATCCTCAATGAGCCTAGCAAGATGGGCTCACCATGAGTAAAACCCGACATCAAGTTCCAATTGGTTCTTAGCTTCTTTTTATGATATGATTACTTATAATCATATACTGCAATATTCTAGTCAATTAAATTAAATAAACACTCTTGCACCTGAATCAGAGTAATGTAACTGAGTTAGTGTTCAATAAACAATATCTCAACTAAATGTGCTCTTTCTATCTTTAAGATTTCTGTACAGTAGGAGGTTCTTGTATGTCATGAACAAAACCCTACTGTCTTTGCATGGCCAATTATCATACTTGCTGATAATAAGGGACACACCTGTAAAATGTTGGATTGGCCAAAGTTGTGTGATATTATATATCTACAGCAATGACAAAAAGAGCAGGCGCTGAGGCTGCTTACGTATGACCAAACACCTCGTGGAATTTGATTCCTTGATTTGGAATTTAGAGTCATGACTTCATGGGGCAGCCCAGTTAATTGACCTAATGAAGTATTTAGTGTTTCTAGTCTACCTCCTAGTTCACCGCAGAACTCCTAAACCCTCAACATTTTGCAAGCAGCTATCCAGAACACAACTGGCCTCTGTTCACTTGGTGCAACAAAGGAAGAAGGAGAGAGTCAGGAACAGGAGGACGATAAAGAATGTATGGCTGATGACTTCCTTGAACAAGAACTACCATGAAGGACTTTGCCATGAAACCAGAAGAACTAGATGGTGCCCAGCTACAACTACTGAACATTTTGACAAAAAATTCTCCAGAAGGACCCCGATTAAAAGGGGGAAGTGCAGAACAGAATTTCAAGTTCTTGTGGATCATATATTTTCAAGAGCCACGGAGGTAGAAGAACCACTATGTCCCTAGTTCTTAGCCCAGGGCCAGAAAACAGTAGGCCTCAAAAATATTTTTATTGCTTTATAGTCAACCCATCTGATGACCAATGCTCAGCTGCAGGGAATCTTTCAGAGTTGTACATTTCACACATCCATATGATTTTTGGAACGAGATGGTGAGCTGCTTCGGGAGCCATGTTCACTTCTTCCTGGCCCACTGACTTTACAAATAATTATCTCTCTGCTCATATTTGAGAGAGGCGACATAATGAGAGAAATAGTTTAGCCTTGGATCAAGAGGCTCTGGCAACAACAATATGCCCGTGAAGAAACAACATAACAGTTTAGGGATCCTGACATGAAACTGACCCTTGCAACACCAACGAATCACTGATTTTAGGGCTACCAACCTGGATTTTGACGTTTGTTGCCTCTCTGCCCAGTTCCTGTAGGGTATTTCCTTTCCTACTGCACTCAAGATTTAGACTTCCAGGGTAAATCTCATGTTCCCTTATTTGGTTAGAGTTATCTTTTTCATCAAGCGCTAAGAGTTCTGCAGCTAAACAACCCAAGAGTTCATCTGTCAATTCTTCATTCTTTAAAGAGTCCAGACTTCCTAGGGAGAGTGAATCATCATCATTTAAAGATGCCCCGAACATCTGACATGCAATTGGCTTATTTGCTAAACTCTCATGATCCAAAGAACGTGCCCAATTTTGATATCTTTGGGAAGCTGCCAGTTCTTGTTTCTCGGGGAAAGAGAAGCTCATGCGTGTTTTAGATGTATTTGGAATACTATCAAATCCTAGCTCTTTAGGTAAGTTTGGGTAGGCATTGAGGTCACCATGAGATGCTTCGTTCTGCTTTTCTTGCAGTACATGTGTGATGGAATTCTTCTCCCTGGGCAATGCCCAGCTGCTTTCTGAGGGGACCAGTGGGATGTGGGGAGGCAGCTCTTCAAGTTCCTGAAGATCTCTAAGGCTCGTGGCCAGCAGTGGGTGGTTCGAAAGGTCTCCTTCATTGACGGGCTCTTCCATAGAAAGCTCCTCAACAATGGACAAATCGGAAACAGGAAGGAATTCCTTGTGTTCGGTGGATTGCTCAGCATACAGAGCCAAGTTCATGGACGGAACTTCATCTTTGAAAGACCGAAAGTCATTTTCGGAAGACTTCACACGCCAGTCTGGTTCCGTGACACCATGGTCATTTTCGATGTCTTCTAGGTTCCTAGCGATCGGCTTGCAACTCTTTCCTTTGGACATGAAATCTTTGTGCTTTTGTTTGATGCCCAGCGAACCCTTGGGGGGGTTGACATGTGGTCTTTTGTGGGCGTTCCTAGCCCTCGTGTTGTTTCTGCTCTCAGTGTGTGGGGACTGGCATTTGCTGACCATACCTGTGCCAGGTGGAGCTGTACAAATCTGCCGGCAGTGTTTGCTTTCATGCCGCCCCGCCTCTCTCGCGTGGCAATACACAGGGGTCCCAAACATTTCATAGATCCCAGGCCCGTTGCCCGTGGAATTGATTTCTTTGAACATGTCACTGTACTTCAGATCTAGATGCGTGAGGTTTGATTCTGATGGTTGAACAGCAAAAGGCAAGGAAGACTTCTTTAGCACGGGGTTCTTACAGATGCAAGGAAATGACGGGGGCCTCTGGGGCTTCGGCGGCCTGTGAGTGGCCTGCTTCTTCTCTGTCTGTGGCATTCTGTTTTGAAACTTGGGGGACGGTGGAGGCCTGGTATCAACAAGCCCCAACGTGGGGAACCCGTGAGTTTTTATGCTGGTTTTCTGCGTGGTAGGCTTCGTGGACCCCTCAGTGGAACTCATGGGTTTCTGAGGTGTCTTACTACTTATCTTGGTCTTTGAATCCGACTTATTTCTATAGGTTTTCTTCTTATGTCTGTCATTTTCTTGGTGTGCCCGGATAGTGAAGCTCTGGTTATTGGCCTGGAGGATAGCCTTCCTCCTTTGGAGGCCAGGTTTGGCCACTGCTGGCCATTGCTGGCCCTTGGGAGCGCCATCTCCAGGGAACGTGATGCAGATAAGAGGCACCGCTTTATTTACTTCTGGTTTGGTACTTTCCGCTACTGATAATTTTATGTTTGTCTCCATGTCACCCTGACCTTCTGGACGCTTCTCAATAGGACCATCAGGGACGGTATTAGGCAAACTCGTAAGGACCGGATATGCTTCCAATTCCTCATGATTTTGCTCAGTCGCTTCTCCTGTATACACCGAAGCACGTCGTGAATCAACCCGATCAGTTCTAGCCTCTCTCTCCGGGTCCTGAGTTACCTCTGCATGCTGGACTTCTTGGAGCTTGCTTAGGGTGCCACAGACACTTTCTGATTCTTGTTCGCAGTTCCTGAGACCTGAACCCGCGCTATTTCTTGATGAAAGATGTTGAGAGGGCTCGTCTCCTACTTTTTTCATTTCACTCCCACGGCAGTCAGCATCCTCTTCAGGAGCAGTGGAAATATTATCTTCCCTATGATTCTCAAAGAACACCCAAGACTGTCCCTTTTCAAAGGGAGAGCATTCCATTTTGTCACACCCCTCTGTGTCCTTGGGGTTGCAATTCTTCTCCACTTGCAAGTGTTCTCGGGGAAGGCTAGCCTTCCGAAAGGAGCACATGTTTCTGGACCAAATGGAGCTATCGGAAGATCGGAGAGTCTGATTCCCAAGCACCTGACTTGGGGCTTCCTGCTGCTTGTTCGGTTGTCTAAACTCATCAGATCGAATAACGGGCTCTGAGATTTTAGGGATCAAGGTGAGGAGGCTTGGAGCACGGCTTTGTCTCCCTTTTTGAATCTTGTGATTTGGGGGGAGAGTAAGGAGACCGGAGGAGCTGGGCAGGAGCGACAAAGGCGGCAGAGGGAACTGGAAGGGAAGAGAGAAAAAAACAATGAATGCAGACACATGGAAACAGCACACAACCTCGTGCAAGGTCAGCGGAAGAGAGTCTAAGATTCTCTTCCCCTAAGAGAGTCTAAGGGGACACCTCTAAAGGGCAAAGCTATCCTGGAAGTCACATTTTTAAAATGAACATCTCAATCCTAGTGGCTTTGTAGAACCCAGACAAAATAATACGTTTAAGAGCCAAAATTGTCACAGGTATAAGGATTAACGGCTGTAGATTTAAAGAGAGGAGTCTGGCGGTGCAGTGGTTACTCGTTGGGCTGCACTCCATGGGGTCAGCAGTTTGAAACCACTTGCAGCTCTGAGGGAGAAAGACTGAGTTTTCTATTCCCCTAAACAGTTACAGTCTCAGAAACCCACATAAAGTGGCTATAAGTCAGTATAGACTCTAGGGGAACGAGTTTGCTGGTTTGGTTTGTTTTAAAATGAAAAATTCATAATGTAAATGTTAAAATTTTAAAGTGAGTTAGGTAAGGTTTATTGTGCCAACCTGGCTGATAAACACACGTGGGGTTAATTGAAGGGCAGAGAGATAAATAGCTCCGGTGAGCCTCGCCTTTCAAGTTCTCAGGTCTCTTGCTTTGCGAGGGTCGAACCAGGGTGCAATTGCCTTAGTAGTTCCCTGCTTCAGCTTGCAAGGCTCACTTCTTGCAAGACATCTCCAGGGAGAAGCTGCATGAACCTACCCTGATGCAGCCTGGTGCTGGAGCACCCCTGTGGAGACCCCTGCCAGCGCTGAGATGCTTACACGCTCATTGATTCGGATTTCCTCCTGCAGTCGGCATCATTGTGTCTGTTTCGTGAGATGCAGGAGGACTTTGTGGATTGGTGTCGGACATATGGGTTAATGTTGGACTTGTAGGCTTGGGCAGCCCTCGATTGGGATGTTTTCTTGATGTGCACTTAACCTTTATATAAAGCTCTTTCTTATATATGCGTTTCTGTGGATTTGTTTCTCTAAGCACCCAGACTAACACATAAGGTAACCCAAAACAAAAGCATTGCCATAGAGTTCATTTCAACTGATAACAACTCTATAGGGCAGAATAGAACTGTCCATGGGGTTTCCAAGACTGTAAACCATCACGGAAGCATACTGCCTCATCTTTCTCCCAGGGAGAAGCTGATGGGTTCAAACCACTGAACTTTCTTTTAGCAACAGAGAGCTTTCACTTCTGGGCCACAAGCGCTTCTCTTACAGGTAGTTAGACACTAGGAAAGCTTGCTACCTAGTGGGAGAGGATGCAATTTCTTGATATGTTAAAAGAAAACAAATTAAAATAATTGCTAAGAAAGGGCGAGAGAATGGAAATCACTTCTAAAATATAAATGACCACAGCCAGGCATCATTTTCCCATCAAGTACTTGCCATTCTATAAATTATGTGAGCTGTTATTTTTCCAAGCTGTATTTTGCTGAAGCAGCCCTGCTGGTATGTATAGTGGTTATTTGTTGGGCTGCAATTTGCATGGTCAGCTGTTCAAAACCACTAGCTAGCAGCTCTGAGGGAGAAAGAGTGGGCTTTCTAATCCCATGAATAGCTAGCTAGTCTTGGAAACCCACGGGGCGGGGCGAGGGGTGGCCCTAGAGTCAGCATTGACTCGGTGGAAATGAGTGAGTTGAGCATTTTGCTGAGAATTTTGGTTCAGATTTGTTCAATAGAGTTGTTTTCTAGCAATAAGAGCTTTGTTTTGAATTCTTCAGTCAGAAACACGAATACAGAATAATCTTACCTCAATTCTTCGGCCACTGTGCTTTACATCAGAGGTAGAAAACGCTACAAGAAAAAAGAATAGAGTATTCTTAGTAGTAGAGTAAACGTAGCCAGACGTAAGTCAGAGTTTGGAGATAAAAATGATAGTATTATCTAAGAAAAAATAGAAATTAAGAATATTTTCCCCTTTGTAATCCACACTGAGATGGGAATTGAATGAGTACGGAAAATTTCACGCTACTGCCGCGAGGGGAGGTTATGTCTCTCTCTCTGACACAACCCCCCCACTAAATATTTCTATTCCGACAGGAAGCACAAATTATCCGGATCAGAGAACAGGCCATTGATGACTCACAGAGCGTTGTTGGGTTTTTTTTTTTTTTTTGGTTTAGGAAAATTTCTGTGGTTTTATTGTATGATGAGACATTGAAACATCGGAACCAATCAATATCTGGGCGTTGAGGTCGCTGCTTTCGCCTTCACTTCTTTGGGTTACTAGAGCGACTTGTCAGTAGATTTTTTTTTTAAAGGAAAAAATACACATATTTTTAAAAGGACAACCTTTTGCATTACTTAGCTCTTTCCAAGGCACGCGCGGGTACAACACAAACGCATCCTATCGGATGCGACTATCTAGTGCCCCAGCATCCCGCAGGCCACCTGCAGCGCGCCCTCCCCTGCGGCCCGGCTGACGTCTGCCGCGTCTGGAGGAGTGTGGACGGGATCGGGAGGAGGAGGAGGGAGGAGGAAGCAACGTGAGCGCCTGGCGGGGACGGGGTCAGCCAGGGTGCTGCCGAGCAAGCCTGACCTTGAAGTCCGTGCGGTCCGTGCCCTCCCGGCAGGGAGCAAGGCAGGGCCGGGCTGCCGCGGATAACCAGGGAGGGTCCCAAGCCCGGGCCCAGGCTGACGCCGGGTGAGCTGGGCCGCGCTGCCCAGGCCCAGAGCCTTCGCCCTTGCGGGGTCAAAAAGGACCAGGGACCAGCCAGCCGGGCCAGTCGAAACGGGCCGGGGCCCGGCGACCCCCCTGCGGGTGGTCCCGACCCAAGAAACAGACCTTGGGGGGTGCAACCCGCGCAGAGGGCGCCCGGCGGGTTCTCCCTGCGTGCCCCCAGCCGCCGGCGGGCGCAAGAAAGACCTTTTCTATGAAATATAAGCAGAAGTCTCCAAAAGAAAGGCGAAGTTTTATGACCCTAGAATGTAAGTAAATTCCTGGGGTGATAAGCCCCCAAATATCTCAGAAGCAATATACTCCCTCTAACTTGCAAGGCATCTTTGCCCTTTCTTTTTTTCTTTTTGGACTTTAACCCAATTCTTTAATTCCTATTATTTCTAAGTCAAAATTGACACTATTTCGAGTGGAAAACTGGAAGGAAATAAAACATTTTTTGTAATGCTTGTGTTCTTTTTTTATTTTTACTTTTTTTTCGATCACCTTTCCACTTGGCTTCCTGGTACTTTTTGCTAGGAAGCACCGGACTGCGCTGAAACATGGAAATATTCCTGGATCCTTATCTCCCAACTGGTGCTTTGGCCTCATCCAGGAGATACATACAGATCATGAATCCGCACAGCACACCAGGCGGGGGAGGAAAGGGCAGAGAGGAGACTTGTTGTTGGTTCTTGTAAAACCTAGAGGTTGTTCTCTTCTTTTTCATCCAGTTGCTGATTCCAACTCCTGTGGACCTGCTGTGTATCCGAGAAGAACTGGGAGGAGAAAGCCTGGGCTTCTCTACTCCTGTCAACAGTTACCGTCTTGGAAACCCACAGCGCTCGCCATTGGCAGCATTGACTCGATGGCAGGGAGTCTGGTTTGGGGTTGTGGTGCTCGGCAGGGTTGCAATGGCTGTTCTTCCGAGGTGCTTTTCAGTGGACTCAGATGGCTAACTTTGGGGTTAATAGGCAAGTGTGCTGACTGATTGCACCACACAGTAACAATTCTCTTCTTACTGAAAAGTCAGACTGGTCCCCTAACACCCCACTCATCCACCCAGCACAGCTCAGATCTGAGTCCCAAACCTCCAGTATTTTCAGGGTCAAGGCAGGTCACATACATGGATGAAGTGGGGCTAGTGGGACAGTAGTGAACTGAGATCTCACAGCCCACCTAACAAGACACCCATTATCCTGCTGTAGCCTGTGGCACCCATTCCAGACAGATAACCGAGCACTGACAGATCTTCCAATTGTCCAGAGAACCCTGAGACCTGGTAGTTTCATATGAAAGTCTCCTCTTCAAAAACACATTGTGAGAGCCAAACAAAATACACCCGCATCTCAGGGTCCATTTCAGTCACAGGCTACCATTGGAAACTACCATTGAAAAAGAAGTCGAATTCTCTAAGGTGAACACAACTAGAATGAAGGATGGCCACTTACCAGCTTCTCAACAGGAGCTGTACAAACCGGCCAACCTGGCCCAGATTTCTCCTCAACCTACCCCTGCAATTCTTTATGCATTCATTCAACCAACATCTATGGAATGCCTACTGAGTGGCCAGCACTGTCCCAGAAGACTGCAACATATTGTGAACAAGAAAAGGCAAGAGGTCACATGCTAGAGGGGGATATTTTCCTGTTGTGGAAGAGATACCAAAAGTTAATAATGCCAGGAATACAACAGACTATAATTTATTGTTAGATACACGTGCACGAGAGCCTGATCTAAAACAACAAACACCAACTTGAGGGTAGTTTTACTGCATAGTTGGACAGGTAGCATCCCATATGAGCTGGGCTAAATGAGGGATAGAAAGTCCCTCTTAAACATTTCTGGTGGGGATTTTTCCTTCTTGGAGGCAGAAGACATTTCTTTCTCTCTGCTCACTCCCTGAGAGACAAACCTGAGGAGAAGCTACATGGACCTACCCTGTTGCAGCCAGAACCATGGACCTGGAGAAGCCATGTGGAGACCCCTGACAATGCTGAGATGCTTACAATACCACTGGACCTATAAGACTTCCCACCCACTGACCTGTGATTTTCCTGCATTTGGCACCGTTGCATGTGTTTCATAAGTCTGAAGAGGACTTTATAGATTAGTATCGGACATAAGGGCTAATATCACACTTATGGACTTGATCTGGACTGGGCTGGAATATTTTCTCAATATTCAATTGCTCTTGTACATGAAAAAAACCCCACATTTCTGGTGGGAATGTAGAGAGGGAAAATCTTGCTAATGGACATTTTGGCAATAGGTGTCAACAGCCTTTTAACATATGCAGAATCCCACTTAAACGTGGAAGATTGAATGCATGCATTCTCCATAACCACGAGAAAATAACAATAAAAAAATCATAAAGTATAAACAAGGACAAAGAAAACTACAGCAGATCAGCAATATCAACTACATGTTGGACAGTGAAAACTGGGTGGGAAAGAACTGATTTCAAAGGTAATGTGAAAAAAATAAAAATAAGTGATTTTAACTGATAGCAATGATGGATGCATAATCCTCCTTAAGGGGGATGAATAACAGAACCGTGGGTGAAGGGATACATCGGAGAGTGAAAGATATGAATAAAAACAATAATATGTAATTTATTAAGGGTTCACGAGGATGGTAGCGTGGGGGAAGGAGGGAATAAAGAGAATCTGATATCAAGGGATTCAAGTAGAAAGAAAATGTTTTGAAAATGATGATGGCAGCATCTGTACAAGTTCGCTTGATGTAAGTGATTTATGGATTGTTATAAAACCTGTAAGAGCCCCCAATTAACTGATTCCCCCTCCCCTCCTCCACCCCACCCCCCAGAAAGTGATTTAATTGTCATCTTTCTCTGTCCGGCTGAGCAGCAGCAGGGGCAGTTCTCAACAAGAAGTGAGTCGAGAACTCCAGCAAGGAGGCGATATTGAAGGTACCAGGTACCTATGAAGGTAGGGGTACAAGCAAGGCTTACGGTAAATTGGAGAGCTGCTTTGAAGTCTGAACAAGGAGTTACCCAGATTCCCTCCCTCCTCGTCAATCAAGAGTTGTTCTTCTCCATTCCGGGGAAAATAAGTGGACGTTTACTCTCGGAAGAGCTTGAAACAGAGGCGCTAGGCATAGCTGAGATCAGAAATGCATACTGAACTGAAAATAAGAGGAACCAGAAAAGTTGCTAACCTTGGCAAGGCTAGAGATTGAGTCCACTCTGAGACACCCCAGAAAAGGGCCTGGTGACCAACTTCTGAAAAGTTAGCCGTTGAAAATCCTGTGGAGAGCAGCTCTGCTCTGTCAGACATGGGGCCGCCTAAGACTCAATAGCAACTGTGTTGTTTTGCCGCTGTTGATCTCTGTCATTGAAAGTCTATGTACTGAAATGTGAAGCCTCTTCAGTGGCAGGAGTATTAGCTTCGAGTCTTATAGCCTGTGCGCTTCCCCAGAGAAGACCAACCAAGAAAAAGGTCAACCGTTGAGAGATCTCAGTGGTCCAGATCTCCAGCCATTCAATTCTTATGAGGCCCAATCAAGCACACAGCATATCAGAGGAGAGAGGTAATTGAAATGTTATGGATTGAATTGTGTCCTCCCAAAAGATGTGAAGTCCTAACCTCTATCTTGGTGTTTGTAACCTTGCTGGTAATAGGTTCTGTCTTTGAAGATGTGATCAGTTAACTTAGGGAGGTCATACAGGGTAAGATGGGCCCTGCTCTCTTCTATGTCTTATAAAAGGGAAGGACAGACGTGCAGAGAGAGGCACACAAGGCAAAGACATCATTTGAAGATACTAGCCAACAAACACCACGAGACACATGGCTACCAGAAGCAAGAGGATCTTCCTCGAGCATGGGTAGAGAGAGCATGATGCCCTAAAATGGGACTCTCGGGCTCCAGAACTGTGAACAATAAAACTGTGTTCTTTAAAACCACCCATGGTAAACAAGCGGCCATCAAGCTCAGAAGCAACAAA